CTTCTTTTGGATGGCTAAAGGGGGGGTTGCACATGTCTGGAGTCATGCTCATCATGTCCACCCCTCTTTGGCCATTCCTCGGCACCAGTTTATCTTTGCTATAAGGTATCGATCATCCGGCCTTTTGCTACATAGCGGCTTCTGTTGTCGCTAGGTTGGCACGTACTAAAGCGACTCGTGCCATTCCCTTCATATTGTCACAAAAAGGTCGATTGTAGCCAAGCAAGGGAGGACAGGCTGTATATCACCGCCGTTATGGATCGGCGCGACAGCGACAAGAAGTCGGGCGGGTCTGTCCATTACATTGAGAGAAACGGATCCGCCAACTTGACGCTATGGCAGTCCGTCAAGCGTTACAGGCATGTTGTTTGGTGTTGCATCGGCTTGACCACGACCATTTTGTTGTTTGGCTACGACTATGTCATCGTCGGCACCACGTCCGCCATGCCTAGCTTCCAGTACGTTTTGCAATTCTTCTTGCCTTTCCTACCCGCTTTGCCGGTTCCCACGTTGTCGAGCGAATCCCTGAATAACTCGTGTAAACAGACGAGACTTTGGGCGTAAGCTTGATGGACATTGGATACTGCCCTCGTTATGGCTGGGCCTGTGGACGTTTGCGAGTCCAGGAGGGTCCATTATTGGCGCCTTCTGCGGCGGTCAAATTCAGGATTCGGTGGGACGCAGAGCCTCAATTGCTGTCGGATGCTCCTTATCTGCGATTGCAGTTGCTATATGCTATGTCTCCTACGTGCCGTCCGACATTGATACCCGGCGCGGCGTCTTCTTGGCGGGCAAGGCGTTTCAGGGACTTGCGATTGGGATTGTCACGACAACAACGCAGACTTACATGTCTGAGGTTCTGCCCCCGAGTCTTCGAGGTCCAATCCTGGCCTTCTTCCCAATGTTTACTCTGCTAGGCCAGTTGATTGGGGCCGCCGTTATTTTCGGATGCATGAAAATGCCCAACGGATACGCCGTCTGCTTTGCATCACAGTGGCCATTCTCCATTGTGCCGATGATTGTGGCATTCTTCATCCCCGAGAGCCCAACGTATCTTGTTCGTAAGAACAGGATGTCTCAAGCACTCAAATCCCAGCAACGCCTTGAGCCCAGGGGCGGAGATGCCCAGCAAACTATCGATGTTATCCGACGAAATATCGAGCACGAACGAAAGATGACAAAGGCGACTTATATTGACTGCCTCAAGCGTGCCAACCTCAGGAGGACCTTGATCGTCATGTTGTCTGGAGCGTTGCCGCAAATCTTTGGCCTCGCCTTGCTGGCAAAAGCTAGCTATTTTGCCCAAGTGGTCGGCATGTCGGCAGACACGAGTGTTGTTCTGTTAATCATTGGAATTCTTTGCGGTCTGCTGGCCAACACGGCCAGCATATGGGTTTTGCACCACGTGGGACGCCGCCGCTTGATTCTTTGTGGTCTGTCTGGCGTCTCTTTTCTATGGCTTACAATGGGCATTTCCGGCATATGGGACAAACAACCGACCATATCGTTCGTACTTGTTAACCCTGTCCGTAGTATACCGTGGTCGACTTTGCTAATACCCTTGCATCCAGATATACCGCATTCAGCATGATAGCAATCATCGTCATAGCCGGCCTCAGCGTATGGCCGGCCTCGTACGCGGTCGGTGCAGAAACGTCATCCTTGCACTTGCGAGCAAAGTCGCAGGGCATTGGCTGGCTGACGGCTGGCGCGTGTGCCTCCCTCTTTGGCTTCTTTTCGCCTTACCTATACAATGCCGACGCGGCCAACCTCAAATCCAAGATTGGCTTCATCTTTGCCGGTCTGTGTGCTATTGCAGGCGTAGCGTCGTACTTTCACATTCCGGAGATGAAAGGCCGCACACCAGCAGAAATTGATGGAATGTTTGAAGCTAAGCTTCCGGCCAAGGAATTCAAAACTTGGGCTGTCCCATCTTCAAATAGTTCGCAGATTGCGGAAGGGAGGAAAGAAGAAGCGTGACTTGACATGTAAGCAACGAGCCCACTGGGTATGCCATGATGCAAAGTATACTGTTAAAAACAAAAGTGTTTAACACCTTTCCAACTCCTCTGAAGCAATATTATGCTGCCTTCCATGCTTCCTCAAGCAAAGTCCTTGATGGCTCTGGGAGGCAACGTGCCAGCTCGAAAGTCCTTTACACGGTCATACACAAGCTTTGTCAACGTTGAAGCCATCAGAGGCTGCGGCTCCCAACCTCTAGGTCTGCAACCAAGAACTCTTGATTGCGGCAACCGGTGAGAAAACCTTCACGGGAACCCCTCAACGATTGATATTTTTTTTTCCTTGGCGAAATTTTGTTCTCATGGGAATCGCAGCACACTGGTAGGCTGGTACATGACGTCAAGGCTTGTCCCAAGACTTCCGTCAGCTTTGCAAGCTCATGGTAGCTCGCCATGGTCGTAGTCGTCATGACGCGGGGGCTGCGCATTCAAACTCAGAGCCGGTGCCGTGTACTTAGCCACATGTTTAATGAAGGACATGGATATTTTGTTACAACCGTCGCCGGGAACCGCAGCAACGCCATGGATTCGATCAATAAAGGAACACAAACCACCTCCCGATGTGTTTCAACATTGGGTGAGGGTATATCAAAGTAGTCCGTTGACATGCCGGAGTAGATGTATATACAAATCCAAGGCCTGTCTCGTCTAGTGACCTACAAGCCGTGATGTGGAATCTCTCTCGTCCGCACAAAGCAAACACATCCATCGCCGAGGGTGAGCGGGCAGGCGTCTTCCCCGCAAGCAGCACTCGTCTCGATATTTTTCTCGCTCCCGCAAGTCCATCTGTGCCAAGAGGGCGTCAGTACACGAAAGCGCAAAACCTGCCACCTCCCCAACAGCAAGACGACAGCAGCCGGGTTCCGCCACGGCCCATGCAATGCGGGAGCAGCAGCCTCAAACGCCGGTGTCAGACCACGTCTTGCCCAACGACCTACCCGCCGCGGGAAATATGTCGGGTCAAAAGCCGAGACACAAATGCGGGGAAAGGGCAGATTGCCGGGACGTCCAAGTGTTTTCGCTTATACAAAACCGCCGTTTCCCAAGCCTACCCTCCGCCGTGCCTTGAACCACCGAGCTGTGAAGAAGCTACACGAAGCGGAGTGTGCCGCGATGGCGATTGTTGCGCAAAGTGCCAAGATACTCGGCTTCACGTGTTTGCCAGTGGCCCCCCCCCCCCCC